TATGTTAATAAATTGTGTAACAATAGTAGGATAATACAGTATATGAAAATTCGCTCTGATAATTCGTCTGTGCAAATTGTCAGTTATGTGACTTTTACTTAATCCCATTGTTTAAATTAGAGTTAATTTTAATTAATTAATTATTATTTAATTAATTTAAACAATAAGATTAAGTGAAAGTCACATACTGAAAATCTGCACAGACGAATTATCAGGGCGAATTTTCATATACTGTATTATCCTACTATTGTTACACAATTTATTAACATACTCTTTTTTAGGTTTATTTAGGTTCTTTTGATAACGATATAATGAAAATAGCTATCGAAACGTCAAGGTAATTTTTCAAATTAATTTCGTTACTAATTGGCATTTTCTCTTACAGCTTGGGCCAAGTGTGTTGCAGGATACCTTCTAGGTGATAGTTCTTGGTTACTTTTTGATAAATAATTCGTTTTTATTGCGAAATGGGACCACTATTTATCAATCTGTAATAAAAGACTTGAGGAAATTCTGTCTTTTTTAAAGACAAAACATTTTTGAGGTGAAATACCCAACAAGGAGTTTGTAAAAAAATTATGGATTAATGTTAATTCATCTTTCATTTACCACTGACTTACCGGGAAGTTCATAACAATCGGTCCTCTGTTTAGTAAAGAATCATAGCTGTAAATGGAATATAAGTTAAATGTATCGGCAAATATTTGCCACACCTCTTAAATTGGAAAAAAACCTAGGCATTGATTACAAGCGAAAATTTGACTGTGAAGTGTAATAATAGGGAATATGACTATCATTGTAGGGGAGCAAGGTTAGTCTCGGAAAGTATATAAAGACAAACGTATACATGGAGAATTATAATTTGATTTGTTTCAAACCAAGTAACTTGTAATCAGGTGAAATGAACTCTTTTGTAAGTAAAGTGACTTACGAAAATCCAAATGTTTCTATTTAGTTAAATGAAATTTGAACGTATTAAAGCATAGACGCTGTTGAGAGAACTGAATAAAATAAATGTAAAATGTGTTTATTCCTTTAGGGTTCTTCTAAAAGATGTAGGATTTCAAGTTTATTTTCTTCAATTAGTAAAACTCAACTTTGTTTTAGGCTGTCATCACTTTTGTCGCCTGTGTGGCTGCAGCTAACGCTGGATGGCTCCAAGGTCCATCCGCTCACATTATTCAAGGACCGAGCAGCAAAACTACCTTGATTGGACCTGAAGGCAGCATCATTTCTGCTCACGCCCCAGGAGGACAAATCGTGCATGAAGAACATCCAGGAGTCATTGCTCACGCCGCCCCTGTTTATGGTCACATTTCTCCCGTAGTCTCTCACTCTGCCCCAGTTGTCGCTCACGCTGCTCATGCTGCTCCTGCTACCGTTGTTGCACACTCTTCAGCTTATGGACATGAAGGAGTGCTGATTGCTGGACCTTCTGGGCAAATCTCAACTGGATACGCTGCTCACGCAGTTCCAGCTTCAGTGCATGCCTATGGAGCTGCCGGTTATGGACATGAAGGCCAATACGTTCCAGATCATCTTGAGTCTCTTTACGATGATGGTTCTTACAAACCTCATGTGTACCATCACTAAGATATAATTGGAAGAAGTTTGCTTCCTAGGCTATTCAGTGGAGACTAACATTACAGGGCATTTTAGGGCGGTTAGAAGTATATTATGGAAATCATTCGATACCTTGTTTGTGATATGATTAACATGTAAAATTGTATTCTTTGTAAATATGTGAAAATAACAATATGGTTTTAAAAAAAATATATGTTTGCTTTATTATCTCCTATGGATAAAACCGGCACGACAATAAATAGTGACATAGATATTAATGAAAAACAAAAATACTATACAATATAACTTTTATCGATCATATCGAACAGTAATTCGATATGTGCCTTTCTTCATTGACGCGTTGTTCTCCAAGGAAATTAACTTAGAAGGACTAGAATATCTATGCGGATTGAATTTAGTTGCTGATTTTGATTTCAGCTGTGAAACGAATATTTTTCTTGATCATTTCAGTTGAATCTCTAATTTGTAACTTAATTACCTTACCTTGTATTAACTTCCTTTTTTAGTTTATTAAATAACTATGCCAGCCAATCCAATTTAACAAGTCCAAATTGTGAATTTAATTAATGTCATTAAACTAAGTAGGTATTTGTGAGCACTGCGTTAATCGACATATACGTAGTTTCGTTCAAATAAACACGCATTTTCGTCTAAATCCTGCCCTTTGTTACTTTACAGCATTATTGTGGATGCACTGCAACTATCATGCAAAACATGGACATTGCTAATTACCAAATTGGTTTTACTTGTATTACCTTCATTTACTATTTAATTGTGGAAGAAGCAACCCACAAACATTTAGTTAAGGCAAGTCATGTGGAGTGTACAGTATTCAATGATGTCTTCCAGGTATTTGGTAAGAAATCCAAGGTTTTTGTAATCGCAGATGGTCAGCTATTTTAGCTGAAGTATTATAATACTGATATTATGATTGCATTTCGAAACAATCTGTCTACTCGTTTGAATTTTAAAGCATTAAATGCGCATCTTGAATTCAGAAGATTCCGGAAATAACTCAATTCTCAATAAGTTGGATATTCATTACTAGATACCCGAGAAACGACGAAAAAATCGCTGACGAAAAAAATACTCTAAGAATCATAACCAAGTTGATTTACAACATAAAATTAAAATTTTTCCTGACTTTGGATATATCGCTGTTTTTCAAATAATTCAAATTCCTCTCAACTTTGTTTTAATTAAAGAAATACAGGGTGACACATTTTCGACGCCCTGCTAGAGAAACTTCTTTTCTTATCATTACGTGTTCAGTTAAACGGACAAAAACCAACAGAATTTTGGGAGCAAATAAAGTTTATTGGACGTATTATTTTTGTTCAGCAGTAACTAAAATAAATACCCCAAATAGTTGCAAAAATATGTAAATTAATGATTAAATTATAACAAGATTTTTAGTAGGCGCCAAGCCAGATCCTAATGAAGTTCTGTGAAACTCAGTATTTGAATGTCCAAAACAAAACAAATATCCGAGCTTTGAATGCGGAATTCAATAGGAATTTAAATCTTACCCAATTTAACAAGGTCCACATTCGCTAGAAATTGACCAGAGATTTCCCAACATGGTACTCAATACATTTATTCTTAAAAAGTTGGAATATTTTAAATCATTTTAAAGTTGAAAACGGCTTGAGATACCTGTAAACTGAAATGTGATAAAAACTAAGTAGCAGCAAATTGAGACACGTTTTCGCTATAACCATTTAAATTATTTCCGTTTTTCCTCCTTCGTTTTTAAATTCGCCGTTCTCTCAGGGGTGACCAGTTACGAGCAATACAATCAACTTACATAAAATAGTCTCTCACAGCTAACTGTTTTACTTTGGGCATTTAGATCCACGGATAAAGTGAAAATTTTACCGTATACCTTTGGTATAGACTCTTTCGGAAATTTGGGGATGGTTTCATTTATTTAGGCAAAAAGACAAGGGGTGATTTACGCAAAAAACCATAACGCAAACGAGCTCCTATTTCGATGCCTATGAGCAGGCTATAGTCGTTAATTCCCTAGAATATTTAGTCGGTAATCCTGCTCGAAGGACCAAACCTTTTACTGAGGTACGATAAAACTTGTGCGTTTGAATCGATATTGCCTTATCGTTAATTTTAATATAAGTTTAATATAAGCTATTGCGGAACGGTGTTTAGTGTTTATTTTAATAAATTGAAGCAAACCGAATAAACACTATCATAATGTTCGAATTTAATCGCATACATTTCAGATCTTCTACCTGGCCATTTTATTCATGAACATCAGTTATGGGGCAGTTCTACCACAGCAGCGTATGGCGACCAACATAGAAGGCCCAAGTAGCCAATCACGAATTGTTGGACCTGATGGTAGTGTAATAATGGCTGATAATCCAGGCGGTAGAATCATCCATCAAGAAACTTTAGGAGTTTTTGAACCTGTTGGACGTTTTGTAGGTGGGTATGTAACCTAGTAAATCTCAAATATTTGGCTTAGACTCATGTGGCGTATGTTTAACGTAGATTCAATATTTCAAGGGCCCCAACTCCTAAACCCAACTGCCTCTGGGCAGCTGGCTCATAAAGCTATAGATGCAGCTATTCTTGGACCTTCTATTGGTGCGGCTCAAGATACACATTCAATTGACCATGGCACGGAAATAGGCGCAGTTTATGCCGCAGATAAGTCAACTGTAGATGTAGAGGCTCATTAAATATATGTTACTTATGGGGTAGATGCTTAATAGAAATAAACGAATTTTTAAATTAATTGTGACACTATTTTTCATTTTAAAACGATATTTTACCATTCGCTTTGCTGCACACAGCTAGCCTAAACATTCGATATTTTACGTTCTGATAGCAAAATATTATTGCTGACTGGTCATTATCCAAACAGTAAAACACACTAATTCTAAGTCTCGACTGGACATAAATCTTCACTAGATCAAACAACAACTTTAAATTAAATTGAATGTTTGTTTAATGCACTTTTTTATGTCGTAATGAGAAACAAGGTTTCGTTGATTCTGACCTCACCGAACAATCACTGTTATTTGGCAAATGGAAGCGTATACGCAAATGGAATATGCGTTAAAAATACTAAATTCGCCACACCTCTCAACAAAAAAAGTGTAGGAAATTCTTGACAGCAAAATTGAACGGTGAAGTGTAATAACAGGGAATAACAATATCTTTGTAGGGGAGCAAGGTTAGTTTCGGAGAGTATATAACTGTATAACATTAACCGTGGAAATTAGAACTTGATTAGCTTCAATCCAAGTACCAAACAAGATGAACTCTTTTGTAAGTATATTAATTCGGTTGAAAATATCTAGATTTTGTCTGTGTTCGCTCTAAGGTAAATTTAATCTATTCCTTCCAGCAACTTCTGACAATTCTTATGAAATAGCTCTGATTTCATCTGAGAAGTTGCTAAAATAAGTATAAAAAGAGTAACTTCTGTATTCAGATGTTCCTATTCTTTTCACAGTTTACTCCAAACATTGTACTTGTGTTGAAACAGCCAGATTCTGGACTAATTGTTTCAAATTTTCTCACTATCTAGGTTGTCATCACTTTTGTCGCCTGTGTGGCTGC